TCTCTTGATTGTTTCTTGACCATTTACCTTGGAAATGCCTTATCATTTGCCAATTTTGCGTAGGTTGTGATCTTTTACCATATTTCAAGTCCTAGAATGTGGTGAAGGGTTGGGAGCGAGTTTGAGGCAAAAAATGAGCAATAGAAGGCCGACAATGATTCTCATGACGATGGAAATGAAAATCACGGCGTTGGAATCAAATCTTAGCCAACGACCCTTGAGTGTTTTTTTTTTTTTGTGAAAATGGGTGCACCACTATCGCTTCATCAATATTTAGACTATTTTAACACGACGAAATAGTTGAACCATGATTTTAGTAAAAAATATGCTACAACTAACTTTTTTGGCATGATTTTACAACCATAGTGCTTAAGCATAAATCAAGCAGGGAAGGAACTCCCGACTAAGTTGTACAACGACCAATGTCTTGCATTTCAATATGAAACTCTTAACTAAATGAATTCTGTGCGTATTCAAGTTTGGAAATAATAAATTCATGGGAGAGCACTTATACGTCGCAGCAAGATTTGAGGGCAAATCTTTTTCAAGATGGAGCGAATGATGCGACCCCGCTCACCCCACATGGCGTTACTCAAGCCCAAATTAGATCTCTACATGGACCATGGGTTAAGAGATGATTTAAAAGGTTTATAGAGAGCTTTGGAGCATTTAAGTTGGAGCATTTCAGCAATCAAATAGAGTGTTCAAGTTCAACTGAAGGGTTTTGCTTAATCTCTCCTATGATGATTGAGGAGAATTGAGTGGTCTCTTATCAACTAGAGAACGCGTCTAGTTGTGGCGAGCATGGACTATATCGGTTGGTGTTATCCACGGGTTCGAGATTGTGTGATTGGTTTCATATACCAATTGGCCTTTCTCGCGAGTTCGAATCTGTTTGATCGATTTCCGCAAGTATCTTTTATTTTCTTGTTATTCAAGAAAGAAGAAAACCCCTCAATAGTATGACGTGTACAACTCTGGAGTTTTGGTCCAAATTTGAGTGGATTCTCGAATTAGGGTCAAATCATGGCATCGAGTGTCCCTTATATGTGAGGACAATTTACAAGAACTTCAGCCTCACAATAAACATGAAACATGAAAACCTCAAGTATGATCCTTAAAAGTGTCAACCCAACTATACCAGGATCATAGTCATGAACCGGCACCCATGATTCAAGGTTTTGCTTATAACTCACAAGTGAGAGAATAACGTAAGTGTCGAAATAACTTTAGTTTATTATTTGATAATGGAACTAATGTCAAACTTACATATTTATAAGATAGAAAACCTAATATTTTAAACCTAACCTATCCCTATGGCTAGCCAACTCGGCCACCTATCGCAAGAAGACTTCTAATTGGACTTACTAAGCCCATGCACTAATATAACCCACCTACTAGCTACGTAAATCAACAAACACATAAAGGTAAATTGCAAGTTTAGTCATCGAGTTTACTAAAAAGGTTCGTGTTTAGTCACTAAAAAAATTAAATTCCATTCGTGGTCACTAAAATTAATTTAATGGTTTAAATTTGGTCACTCTTCATCCAATTCTGTTATCTTTATCCTATATGGCGGTAAGCTCTAATAGTTGACCGTTAAATGAGTGATGTGACAATTAAAAATAATATAAATAATAAAATTTAATCCTTTTCAATTTTCGCCTCATTTTTAACAATAAATTAAAACAAATAAAATACAATTACCAAAACAGAAATTAATCCCTTCATCACCGCAACCCTCTCACGCCTATCCCGTCTTCACCCATCATCAACGCCTCGACATGTTGAATCTGTTACCAATATCTCACCGAAGACTCGAGAAGTCGAATCTCTCCGCCGTCGTCGTCGATCTATCCTCATGGGGCGTCCAGCTGCCAAACCCGTGCACGACTATGCGGCAGCAAGGACAAACTGGACCTTCATCCTCTCTGTTTTCACCACTGGTACTCGATGCCATCCAGCGCGAGGAAGACGATTTGGACCTCCGGCCTCTCTGTTTTCACCACTCATTTTTCGTTTCCTTAACCCGCCGCCTTAATCCCCTCCTTAATGCTCTTCTTGTTACATATTAGGCATCGATCTGACCCCAAAGCAAAAACTCACTTGAAAATTGCAGGAAATCTGCGGGAACTTTCTTTCACAAAAGCCCAATCTTCTCCCCTGTTAAATTTCACCAAACACACATGGACACCCCTCATCTTCCCTCACTGGCCGGATTCACTATTCACTATCGGAGAGCTTCATTACAGAAAGTGGTCTGGGACTTCTTCAACTAGGCGCTCGACTTTCGCTTGGTGACCTTTCTAGTAGCGCTGAGAGCAGCAGAGGACGAATTCGAGTTGCTTATGCTACGGCGTGACTAAGGAGTGGGACGAAGGAAGCTATTTGGGTCTAAGGAGTAGGAGATTGGAGTCGGGGGCGGAGTAGTCGAGGGTAGGAGTGATGGAGTAGGATCAATGCATTTGGGCTTATGGGTAGTGGAGAATTTTTAGATCTGCGAATCGGAGAAGAATGGGGAAAGTGGGGTTTTTTTGGGGGTTGTGGGGAGGAGGAAAGTTTTCCTCCGATTTGTGTGTTTTTTGGTTGTTTAAGTTTTCTTCCTCATTTTTTGATAATTATACTAATTATTTTTGTTTTATTTATTTATATTATTAATATGAGGTGGAAATTGTATAAGATTAAATTTAATTTATTTATTAATTTTTTAATTGTCACATCATTTATTTAACTGTCAACTATAAAAGTTGACCGCCACATAGGATAAAGATAACAAAATTGGACGGAGAGTGACCAAACCTAAATCATTCAATTAATTTTAGTGACCACGAAAGGAATTACATATTTTTAGTGACTAAACATGAATCTTTTTAGTAAACTCAGTGACCAAACTTGCAATTTACCCCACAAGCTTCACATAATAAATTTAAAACACTAATCCACCCATTTAATTTGGCCCAACATGCTCTCATCACATAGAGATAGAAAGAATAATAATGTCTCTCCAAATATATATCATTCTCAATTTCTCATAGCCTCAAACATACCTCCAATATTCCTTGGCTTTGAGTTACAGAAAACAACCCAACTACTTCTCTACGACAATGATGAAGGCGAAATCGATCAGAAAAAATCTGCAGACGCGCATTAGAGTAAGGAAATCTGCGGATCTTGAAAAGCAATGATCGATCTGCAACCATGGAGTGGTCATTAATCCCCATCGCTACCATGTGCAACTGGCTACCTACTCAATTGGAGAGGAATGAATCATTCCGCATCTTCCAAATAGAAAAAGAAGCTCTACTTTACTTTACAGGCTTTAATCTGCTACGGTGACATCATCCAAGCAAGTAGCTAAACGAGGTTGAGTTTCAGTGCTGTGCTGCCTTCTATATGTTGCTTTCACTCAGATACTTATCCCTGAGAAAGGGGTCCAGATCGGGTCAGTAACTGATGGGTCAGTAACCCATCAGTAACCCCTTCTATGGTCCCCACGTGTCAGACACTTTTTTTATTTAAATTAAATGTGAAAAGGGCAGTACAGTAAAATGACACTTTCTCTATTTATTGCTGAGCCTGACTTTTGACCGGATCACATCAGCGCCTTCTCTCTCCTCGCAAAACTTTTAATTTTCCTTTCCTTAATCTTTAACGGACGATTTCTCACTCGTTTTAAGTCGAAATTTAATTTTTTTTGCACAGTTAGATCAGATTAATTGTGCTCTTCAAAATGATATCCACTTTGATATTTTTTGGACATAAAAAAATTTGTCAGTTATTACCAGTCTATACCATATGGTATTGACTGGTATTGACCATACCATATGGTATGAAAAAAACTTAACACATCAATATATATATTACGTTACCACCCAATACCATATGGTATAGTGTGGTAATATCAATATATATTTCGTTACCACCCAATACCATATGGTAATATCAATATATATTACGTTACCACCCAATATCATATGGTATAGTGTGGTAATATCAATATATATTTCGTTACCACCCAATACCATATGGTATACTGTGGTAATATCAATATATATTTCGTTACCACCCAATACCATATGGTATAGTGTGGTAATATCACACAATACCATACAATATCATATGGTATAGTGTGGTAATATCAATATATAATTCGTTACCACACAATACCATACATTACCATATGGTATAGTGTGGTAATATCAATATATAGTTCGTTACCACACAATACCATACATTACCATATGGTATAGTGTGGTAATATCAATATATAGTTCGTTACCACACAATACCATACATTACCATATGGTATAGTGTGGTAATATCAATATATATTTCGTTACCACCGAATACCATATGGTATAGAGTTATAATATCAATATATATTATCTAAAAGAAAAAAAACAGAAGGAGGTAGAGAAAAAAGATCGTCTTGTGTCGCCTCTCATTTCTTCTTCCGCAATCAAGAACACCAAAATGCCGAAAAAATGAGAAAGATCGAAATTGTGGCCAATGAGATGATGAAGAGAAGAAATGCAATGAAAAAGAGTGGCTCCAATTTTTATTCGTCATGAAAAAAAATAAAGAAGAAGAGAAGGGAGCAGATTTAGATCTAGAAATGAGATTGGGAGAGAAAAAGGAAGAGAGAAAGAGAGAGGATCTGGAAAAGAGATTGAGAGAGAAAAAAGAAGAGAGAAGGAAGATAGAAAGTTGCAGAGAAGTGATTTCTCTTTCCTTCCTTAAAAGTGCAGCCATTAAATACGAAATAAAATAAAATAAAGAATTTAATGTATAAACAGACAAAAATACCCTTCTCCACTCAGCGTCTGGCCCAACCACACGATTGTCTACCTATTAGATCTATGGCCCCTATTCAATACTGACATGTCAGTCACCAAGTGGTTACTAACCCTATCTGTTGCCCTGAGAAAGGACAAAGAGAGCTTCCATATTTGTTTCGTCAAATATAAATAAACCAGGGGCCATATGTTAACGGTGGAAATTGCATGCTCAATAACTTATTAATAATTGCAAAAAGTGACAAGATGATACAAATCACTACTCATAAAAATTTATATCCAACAACTTGAATAACATTAACAACGCAACATGAATCCAAAAGTAGTATACATCTAATACACAATCCAACTTGAAGCATTTGGGGGAAAAAAGAAGTCAAAACTTCTCTCTACTGTTGAGGAGGGTCTCCTGAGCAGGTTCAGCTTATTATGTTGACAGGGGAGACTGGTAAGCATGGGCAGACACTATCGTCTCCTCCACGGCATGCAATCTCGACGTGGAGAAATGATTTGGACGATTGTTGACATATGCTTGCAAGGGTTGTCAGCATAATAAACTAATTCCTTCAACCAGCTGGGTTGCATCAATGATGATGTGGATCAGGGCCTCCAGGACTCAGCCTCTTGGATGCATAATAAGCAGCTCTACTCGTGCTCTGACTTCCAGCTGCTGTTTCGTCATTGTAAGCCTGGCTCTCGCCGAATGCTTGAATGGCTCTGATCAAATTCCTTCTCGCCGTGGATGCATCCAAGGGATGAAGTGGCCGGCATTCCGACGACAATGGGAGTAGTAGCGAAAGCAATGACAGGATTGTTACTAGGCACACCAAATTCATGAATCCAGCCATTGTTCTTTTACCCCCCACGAATTGAGTTGCGCTCCCCCCCAAAACTAGTTCTGAATGTGCATTATATAGAGGTGCAAAAGGGTGCCATTTTCCTTTTGCCCCTTAAACAATCCGAAGTGGATGGAAATGGGCTTGTAAGGTCAGAATGGTTTTCATGTAATGGAGCAATGTCATAACTGATCAGTGGAAACCAATATGAGGTTAGATAAGTGAGAAGGATGATTAAGAAAGCAGCAAAGTGACCCTCTACGCCTCCAAGACCCTTTCAACTGAATAGGAGCCTCTCCACTACAAATCATTTTTATGGCAGAGGTTCTAATTGTTTATTACCAATGGCGGCAATCTCCACTTGAATTCTACTTGGAGATAAGAAATGAAAGAACTAAACTTAAATTGTGATCCTTGGCGGCTATCGACAGAGTTCTATACTTGATGAAATACTCCTAAGTTTACTTGGTGAAATAATCTTGAACATACGCGTCTCAATCTCTGTCGCTAAACGAACCTTGTTTGTTAATGAAGAGAACGGGAGGTTGGGGACTCATAGTGATAAAAAGGAGAGAAAGGTCGGCTATTTGACATTATCTTGGAGAATACTTCAATTGGTTGTTAAAACTAGGCGCTTTGTAGTGATAATAAACTTTGCGCTAAACAATCCACTTTGGTAGTAATGAGAGCATCCATGCTAGTTGATCAATTTTCTGATAGTTAAAAAGCAGTCTCATCTGTTTCTCGTCACCACTCACTATAATTTTTCTCCCGCCAAGAGAGAAATGGGAACTGGGCTGACAAAATTTTGCTTTTCTTTTTTCCCAAATGATACTGTAATATAATGGAAACGATCTCCAGGATCTACCCATTCCAATATTTGGACAAGAGAACTAGTGGAAGAGGGGGAAAGCAAAACTCTAAAGGTTAAAGGAGAGAACAGAAAAGTCAAGAACCATGTTCGTTACTAACTAAAATTTTTACAACCTATCTGAAAATTATGCTTTTACACATGATATTAGTCTTCCTGAAAGCTAAATTGACACAGCTATCGGCTTTCCTCTTCCCGCATTTCGGCTTGTCGGCGGCAGCGGAGGAGGTTAAAGGTGAAGGGGAAGAAGGGATCTGTTGATATGACTTGAATCGGATTATCAGCCGCTACGACTGGTAATCGGGGGTCTCGCTGCCCAGTCAGCGAGTGGGGTCCTGGGCCTGGTCTGTAACCGTTTCCTTTGCCAGATTGGATTAGGTTTAGACCCACATGGAGAAGTACTATAATACTTCTCATACTCCTCTGTAATCTGTAATCTCCTCGATATAGTGAAACTGGCTCTCTCTCGCCCGTGGACGTAGCTTACACACATCGTGTTAGTGAACCACGTAAATCGTGTGTCGTGTTTTCGATTCTCGCTTTCGTATTCTTGCTTTGTCGATTCCTGCGATTTTCCGATCCGTAGCAGCGCGTTTTAACAAGCGGGATTAGAGCCTGGTTGGAAATAAGGCTAGGGTTTTCGATTCAGAAGAATGACGTCGGTGAACATGAAGATCGAAAAGTTCACGGGGAAGAACAGCTTCGCTATATGGCAGATCAAGATGCAGGCTTTATTAAAACAGCAAGGGCTGTGGGGGCCGCTGTCTACGAAACAGAAGAAGGCAGCGGTCGATGACGATGAGTGGAACACCCTGGAGGAGAAGGCCCACTCGACCATCATGCTATCGTTGTCTGATGACGTCATCATTGAAGTCGCTGCTGAGAAGACTGCCGCGGGCTTGTGGTTAAAGTTGGAGAGTCTGTATATGACGAAGTCCTTAACCAACAAGCTGCATCTCAAGCAACAGTTGTTGAGCTTGAGGATGCAAGAAGGTACGCCTTTGAGGGAACATCTCGAACAGCTTAACTCTATTTTGCTGGATCTGCGTAATATAGATGTTCAAGTTGATGACGAGGATGCTGCCCTAATCCTACTGGTTTCTTTGCCGAGTTCATATGAGAATTTCGTTGATTCTTTTATTGCTAGTAAAGAAAGCGTGTCGTTGGAAGATGTCAGGTCTGCTCTTCATACGAGAGAGATCAGACATAAGGCGTCCGGATCTGGTACAAGTGGTGAGGCATCGGGTTTGGCTGTTACAGGTGGAAAGGGAAAGAAGAAATCTGGCAAAGGGAATTAAAACAAGAATTCCAAGGGTCCCGGTCCACAGCCAGGTGATGCTTGTCACAACTGTAAGGAAGTGGGGCATTGGAAGTACAACTGTCCCAAGAGAAGAGGGCAACAGAAGAAACAAGGTTCAGTTGCCGTGGCAGAAGTGGACAACAGTTCTGAAGACGATCTCGCCTTGGCTGTAGATGAGAAGGCACATCGTGGAGATGTGTGGTTTATGGATACTGCAGCCTCATACCATATGTCTCCGAACAGGAATTGCTTCACAACCTACGAGCAGATAGATGGTGGTAACGTGGTCATGGCTAATGGAGCTGGCTGCAAGGTTGTTGGAATCGGGTCCATAAAGGTTCGGACACATGATGGTTCGTTCTATACCGTGAATGATGTCAGACATGTTCCACGAATGACAAAGAACCTGATCTCCTTGAGTCTACTCGACAGCAAGGGTTTCAGTTTCAAAGGAAAAGGTGGAGTTGTGTATGTCTGCAAAGGTTCAAGGAAGGTGCTGAAGGGCGTGAAGCGTGGGACCTTGTATGCATTACAAGGGTCTGTGTTGTCTGGTTCTGCTGCAGTTGCATCGTCTCAGGTTCAACAAGAAGATATGACCACTCTCTGGCACATGAGACTGGGGCATATGGGTGAACGGGGGATGCAAGTTTTGTCTAAGATGGATCTTCTTTGCGGGCACAAGATGCAGAACTTGGAGTTCTGCGAGCATTGTGTGTTTGGGAAGCTACATCGCAGCAAGTTTCCCAAGAAGGGTATCCACCGGACGAAGGGGATACTGGATTACCTCCACTCCGACTGTTGGGGTCCTTCACGAGTTGAATCCATTGGAGGCAGCAGGTATTTTCTGTCTATTATTGATGATTATTCGAGATTTACTTGGATTTTCATGATGAAGCAGAAAAGTGAGGCTTTCACGAAGTTCAAGCAGTGGAAGACATTGGTGGAGAATCAGACCGGGAAGAAGATCAAGAAGCTGCGAACGGACAATGGTCTGGAGTTCTGTAATTCTGAGTTCAACGAATTCTGCAAGGATGAAGGGATTGCCCGTCATCGGACTGTGAGAGAGACACCCCAGCAGAATGGCGTTGCAGAAAGGATGAACCAGACATTGTTGGAGAGAGCACGGTGCATGCTCTCTAATGCTGGACTAGAGAGAAGATTCTGGGCAGAAGCAGTGAACATGGCGTGCTTCCTGTTCAACCGTGGACCTCCCACAGGTATTGAGTTGAAGACTCCTTATGAGGTGTGGTATGGTAAGCCTGCTGATTACTCTTCACTGAAATTTTTTGGGTGTCCTGTTTATTATCATGTGGATGAGGGTAAACTGAACCCAAGGGCAAAGAAGGGTGTATTTGTGGGTTACGGAGATGGAGTTAAGGGATTTCGAGCCTGGTCACCTTCTGAGCATCGAGCTATACTCAGTAGAAATGTGATATTTGATGAGAAGTCTATGTTTAACCCCATGTTGAAGGTTACTGTTGTTGAAGGTAGCAGGAATGTTGATAAGCAGGTGGAGCTACAAACTCTCAATGAGAGTGAGTTTGAGCACCAAGGTGGAGAAGATCAACATGATGAGGATGTCTCTGCAGAGCCACAAACTTCAGAGTTCAGTGCACGAGCTCAACAGTCTATTGCTTCCGGTAGACCAAAGAGAGCGACTGCAGGAGTACCTCCAAAGAGGTATGGCTTCGAGGACATGGTGGCGTATTCATTTCAGGTTGCTGAAGAAGTGGATGCAGGAGAGCCACAGTCCTATAGAGAAGCCGTTTCGGGTGGCAAAGCTGATCAGTGGCTTGCCGCAATGGGAGATGAGATGGAATCCCATGACAGGAATCAGACTTGGGAGCTAGTCAAACGACCACAGGGAAGAAAGATTGTTACAAACAAGTGGATCTACAAGAAGGAAGGAATCACTTCTAAAGAGGGCATGAAATTTAAAGCTCGGGTGGTTGCACGAGGCTTCTCGCAGAGGGAAAGAGTTGACTACAATGAGATTTTCTCACTAGTGGTCAGACATACTTCGATCAGAGTGCTACTAGCTATAGTGGCACATTATGACTTGGAGCTCGAGCAGCTAGACGTGAAGACAGCTTTCCTACATGGAGAGTTGGAGGAAGAAATTTACATGACTCCGCCAGAAGGATTCGAGGTTCCGGGAAAAGAAGACTATGTTTGTAAGCTGAAGAAGTCCTTGTATGGACTTAAGCAGTCTCCGAGGCAGTGGTACAAGAGATTTGACAGTTACATGCTTGAGCTGGGCTACAGCAGAAGTCCATATGATTTTTGTGTGTATCACAACAAGGTGGATGATGGTTCGATGATCTATCTTGTTCTGTATGTGGATGATATGCTCATAGCTGCGAGGTCAAAGTCTGATATCCAGAAGTTAAAGGGGCTTCTCAGTGCTGAGTTTGAGATGAAGGATTTGGGAGCTGCTCAGAAGATCTTGGGTATGGATATTTACAGGGACAGGTCGAAGAAGAAGCTTTTCTTGTCACAGAAGAGCTACATCCAGAAGATACTGTCGAGGTTTGGCATGTCTTCAGCAAAGCCCTTAAATACTCCCAGTGCTTCAAATGTTCATCTATCCTCAGCTTATGCACCGCAGTCAGAGGCTGAGAAGGAGTACATGTCGAGAGTCCCATATGCTAGTGCAGTAGGTAGCTTGATGTACGCTATGGTATGCACTAGACCTGATCTTGCACATGCTGTTAGTGTTGTCAGCAGGTTTATGATACAACCTGGGAAGGAGCATTGGCAGGTTGTGAAGAGGATCTTCCGGTACCTTAAGGGTACACCTGATGTGGGGATTAGCTTCGGAAGTGATACAGAGTGCTTGGTGTCTGGGTATTCTGGCTCGGACTATGCTGGAGATGTTGACACGAGGAGATCGATGACCGGTTATGTATTCACTCTTGGGAGTTCTGTAGTGAGCTGGAAGGCAACTTTGCAGTCGGCGGTGACATTGTCTACTACTGAGGCAGAGTATATGGCGTTGACAGAAGCTGCTAAGGAGGGAATATGGTTGAAGGGACTGGTTGGTGATCTGGGTCTACATTATGATCAGGCAGTGGTGTATTGCGACAGTTTGAGTGCAATATGCTTGGCCAAGGATCAAGTCCACCATGAGAGGACTAAGCACATCGACGTGAGGTATCATTTCTTGAGGACAGAGAAGAGGATTAAGGTGAAGAAGGTTGGCACCGCGGATAATCCTGCTGATATGTTCACGAAGCCGGTTCCACATGGCAAGTTCCAACACTGCTTGGACTTGCTGAATGTCTTGAGTGGGTGACTCCGCCCTGCGGGGCATTGATGGCAGGAGAGAGATAGAAGGAGCAGAGTACATCAGAGATTTCAGAGGAAGAGGATTCAAGTCAAGGTGGAAATTTGTTGATATGACTTGAATCGGATTATCAGCCGCTACGACTGGTAATCGGGGGTCTCGCTGCCGGCCAGCGAGTGGGGTCCTGGGCCTGGTCTGTAACCGTTTCCTTTGCCAGATTGGATTAGGTTTAGACCCACATGGAGAAGTACTATAAATACTTCTCATACTTCTCTGTAATCTGTAATCTCCTCGATATAGTGAAATTGGCTCTCTCTCGCCCGTGGACGTAGCTAACACACATCGTGTTAGTGAACCACGTAAATCGTGTGTCGTGTTTTCGATTCTCGATTTCGTATTCTTGCTTTGTCGATTCCTGCGATTTCCCGATCCTTAGCAGCGCGTTTTAACAGGATCCTGCTGGGACGGTGGTGAACCAGTTGAGTCTACAGTGAGAAGAGATGCGAGATGTCTTCTAGTGGCCTTCTTCTTACAACTCGTTGAGGAGGATCTGGGGAACTGTGAGTTTGGTGGGAGGTTTTCCTTGTTGCTATCACTCTCATCCAGTAAGCAAGCCGCCATTACATCTAGGAGAAATGAGAGAGGGGTGGAAGAGAAGGGTGGTTTGCAGTTGCAAGTGAGAAAGGGGAGAAGGCAGCATTAGGTTTAGGTTTAAGTAAAGGTTGGGGTGGCAAATTTTGGAGGGGAGATGAAATTTTGGGTATGAGATTTGAGTTTCGTTCTTCGTTGGAGCCTTGGAGGGAAGAGGACTTGTTTTTGCCGATGTTCATTCGAGCCTTTTCTTTCTATTTTTGGATTTGGCGTTTAAGTTTAGGTTTTTTCATGGTTTAAAATTCTGCACAAGCGAAAAACAGCGCGCCATGCAGTTTTCGCTAAACAGTAAACAACCGCATTTTATTTTTCTGCTGCTTGCCTTCCCTCCCTCGCTCTATTCGGCGGTCAGCCCGCCTATTTGAGCTTTTCTCAACTTGGACATGGTTTTTGGGCTTTGTGACTTACCGGTTGTTCTATATGCCATTTTTACCACCATGATCTGTTGCTCAGTGGATGACAAGCTGGAAAGCAAACTATTCCCCCCACGGTCACAGGATCAATGCTGGTACCACACCCAAACGAACCATAAACCCACCATGATAACACTACCAAAACAAAGGTATTCTAAAATACCTTCTTTTGTAACGTTTTTTCCCGTCCAAAATCTTAAGTACTCTAGAGTCTAGACTTTAGAGTACGTTATTACTACGACTGCTAGGCGCTCAAATAACGGCATTACTATCCAGTTGCAAAGCAAAGTCAGCAGGGGGGGAAGTGAAACACTTGAGTAGACTATTATACTTGCCTGAAACCATCATGAACAAGTGAGGAACTTCATTATGTGCCTGGAATTTCAACAGCAAAAGAAGGTGTTGAGCCTACTTAAAACTACAATGCCTTTCAAAGTCATGAGCACAACATAGGGAGATGGAGGAGGTACCACTTGTTGATTCTTAATGCTTGCCCCTGAGATCATTCTTCTCCAAACTTCCCAGGATACCTCATAGCTATGCAAATGTTTCGAATCGTCAAGGAAATCAATTTGATTTTTTCATCTGGAGCAAAACATCACCGTCAGTTAATGGATGGAAACAAAAGAATATCTTCTCATCTACCTCTGGGTGATTCAATACCTAATAATTAAACTACGTACAGGCTACCCTTAATTTTGAATTGATTTTATGGTTACACGGCAAGTGTTGAAAGAGTCTTTTCTACTTTGAGCTACATTAAGAACAAGGTTAGAAATCGAATATGTGATAAGTTCGTGAAGTATTTTCTAGTAGGATATGTAGATTTTATTTGAACAGTGCAGACACGGAGTTTATTTATATTTTTTCAAAATGTGAATTTTAATTTATTATTTAATAAAAAATCTATACAAATTATACAAGTATGATATTTTTAATGTACGAATTATTTAATTTATTATATAATTAAATTTAATTTTTGAAGAGGACACCCCTGTGAAAATTTTCTGAATCCGCCACTGATTGTCAGTACTGTTGACCTACCAGAAATATCAATTCTCTTTTAGGTTAGGTATCATGCAATCAAGCTTACATGAGTACATATTTTAGAGCATGCACCTCTTTGTTAAGCCATTATTATACCTGATCTCCAACAATGCCTATAGTCTGTTCATCGAACATTCCGCAAGGATGTGGAGATTAAGTCAAGTTAGCACACTCCCATCACAGAAATCTCTAACCTACAACAGTACCTCACATTTCATCCCGTGATTGAGACAGACGTTTATGGGGGGTTCGATGGCACTAAATCTGCATTAAATGCCTGCATATATGGAAGTTTGACTATGTTAATGAGATATTGTTGGAGCAGCTAGAAAAGAAAGCATAATTGGAAGACCAAGAAAGAAAGGAACCTCTGTGTTTCTCTTCAATAATTTCTTCATCTGCTCATGGGTGACAAGATGAAGAATTTTCAAAGATGCGGCTTTTTGTTGTGCTTGTGTGATTTTGGAAAAGCCTTTCAAGGTTTTGTTAGGCGCATTTGGGTGATCTCCTTTTACATCCATATTCCTAGATGGAATGACGGGCACCCATAAAAATACGCATCAACCAAAATGTGCATAAGAGAAATCGGGCTAGAGTATCATGCCTTGAAATTTTAAAGCTGGGCAGATTAGGCAGGGTCTGCTTCTCAGAGTTAAGTGTGGTAACAGGTATGATCCTTTGAACTCGGAATTGATCTCGTAGCCGGTAAGGAGGACTTCATACTTCTCGAGATGTTCAACTTGGTTATCTTATCAACAGAGCTGCCCTTTCTACAGCAAAGCAGAAATCATCTGAGTTCCAAAGCAGCCAAATTCCAAATCACAACAGGATTTAGTTCTAGAATATACAAGTCAATAGCCTCACCTAGTATTATCAGGATCCTTCATGTTGCTTAAACTTCTAAGAATGACAGGTTCCCCTTTATCTACCACTTTATCAGCAAGTATTGGATAATCATTTAGCACGCTTATCTCTTGTACTCCATGATCCTTGCAAAAACTGTTTCATTCACAAAAAACAAAATCACAGGAAGAAAGAGCTTGAACAGAGTACAAAACTACTTTAAATTTCAGCATTACTAACCTGTTGGTAGCTGTACTTTTAACATTCTTCATACCAACTAGTAAAGGAGGTGGTGCACCTTTTCTCATCTCAGAAAAACGTGGCTTCAGTTGGCTACCCGAGTTTCGGCCAGTTTGAACATAGCTGGAACAAAATGTCTCTAAATCAGTGTTCAAGAAGACGCGATTAATCTCTCGCCTAGGCGCGATTAATAGCTGGGCAGGACGAAATCGCCCCGTCTAGCCCTGGGCGATTGATCTAGGCACCTAGGCACTCGGAGGCGCGTTTTCACTCTGGTGGGCGACGCCCAAAACAACTAATAAAGGGGGAAAGTGTAGCCTTTTTTTGAAAATCCCAAACCCTATTCTATTTCCCATTTCCATTCGACCAGCCGCCCCCCCTCATCGACCAGCAGTGAGATCCCTCCTCATTGTTGGCGACTTGGGATGTTTGAGATTGTGCAAAAGGGTTGTATGTGAATATGAATGGATGAATAATGATATGTCAACTTGGGTTTTTGTGGAATATGGCTCATCTATCGTACTTTTTGCAACATTTAATCTCGCCTAGGCAATGATTAATCGGCCTGGGCGCTGGGCGGTGCCTCCTCGCCTAGATAGCGCCTAGCGTCTTCTTGAACATTGCTCTAAATGAGTTGAAAAGACAAAACCAAAAGGAAGTCGTTAAAAGCAGTGACAGTAAAAAGCAGTACTTACGGTTTCAGTTGGTGCACCTTTCCTCAAATTGGAAGAAAGTGAACTTAGTTGACAACCCCAGTTTTGTCTAGTTTGAAAAGAATTGAAGTTCTCTCTATTAGAAAACAAAACAACAATAAAAAGTAAGCTGAACAAAGAAGTAAACTGTAAAGCACTACTTACGGTTTCACGCTTCCGAGATGGTTCAACTGCTTGCTAGCCAATTCAAAACTCCCAAACAAGGAGAAACGCAGACTAGGTGAAGCAAGGGGAGGTCTAACATCACCAGATTTTCTACAGAAATTGGACTGGATAAGTCTCATGCCTTCTTTCTTTGTAATTCAGTTCTTATCCGTTTCTGGTTCACTGCATTAAGCAACAAAAAAAGAAACAATAAAGATTTAGGAAAAGCATCAACAATCAGCTGAGAGAGCCATCCACATCTCACACATTCAGTGTTCTCTCTGATGCTTCATAGAGTTGTTTTGGAAATTTATGAGCAATCATATAATAAAGCGGAAAATGCTAAAATTTGTAAGAACTTTTACTTTTCAGTTGGCAAGTCCGTATAGCTTGACTTCTGGTTGTCCTCATAATCTCTAACAGTTGCCACTGGCTCAGTCTCTTAATACCCTCTGCAGTGCTCTCGGGAAAAATCTCTGTTTTGAAATCTTTCTTGACCTCCTTGCCATTAGTATTCAAAGGAGTTAATTTGCTGAGTTGTTTTTGGTTCTCATTGATTGATTTCAAAACATTAAGAGTGCGCTTTGCATTTGACTTTACAGTCACTCTCGAATCCAAGTAATCAGCCTCCGACGGTACATCTGATTGGGCATCCTGGATAGAATCGCTCCCACCAAGGGATTGTGATGCCGTGGACTGCAAACCATACTCAGCATATTGGTCATTGGGCATGCCTTCATCTTGGGATGGGTTACATTGATCCATGGGAGTATAAACATCTGAGGATGAGCCCTGTTGATTTGTTGCTTCAGTTCTAACACCAACTGTTTCTTCTGATGAGCTTTCTGCTGCTTGCTCAACGAAAGTTCCTACTTGACTATCATCTCGAGGAATTTCAATTCCTTCAGGGGCTACAGCAGTCTTCACCGCATGATTGATAATCTTCTCTGATGCTGCCGAGTCCTCTGTCTGACTGCTTTCAGATCCATCATGACGTTCACAGCCAGTCATAGCAGCCCCATTTTTATCAGTGTGCTTTGTGGCGGGAGTGTTACCATCTACCTTGATTATGTCTTCATCGAGGTTGAATCTGTCGAACCCGACTTGTAATAAAGAAATGAGAGGTAAGAAATTGGAGAATTTATACCCTTCATCAACACATTCCTAGAGAATAAGGTAGCCATATAAATCTTAAAGAGAAATTGTAAACATACCCGTCAAAATCAAAAGAGATGTCAAAGGCGTCTAATTTTCCTTTCTGCTGTCCACTAGAGGATCCTCTATCCACTTTTTGCTTCATTGAAAAACATGTTCGGGGCTTGAGAAATCAAGGTTTGGCATGTCCATCTTGAAGGATTGTAACTTGGCAAAACCACCATCCATATTAAAATCGATGTCCCTGGGAAAATAACAATGGTATTCATACATACCCACAGCAATAATGAGCTCTAGCATTCACCAGTTTTAAGTGGAACAAAAGTTAACAAGCATATTTTCGCTTTACTCAATTTTTTTACAGTTGAGCAAGTCGCATATATAATGGCCAAAAGTCAGGTCAAATCAAGCAAGAGAGTATCTTTCTAAGAAAGATATAGATACAATCAATATCTCATCCCTAGCTAATCCAACTTAAGAGGTTCCACCAATCATAAGACGATTTGCAATAAAACCCCGAAACTGCATCAGAAAGAGACTGTCATGAATATGTTTTAAATCGATTTCCAGGCTTTAGTTAGAAAGACAGTAAAAATCTCTCAAGTTCCTAAAGTTGAATGCCTTCTTTTTATATCCCCTTTTGGAACTGTTTCAATGTTGAAATCCATAGTGTCATCCACTACCTTCTTCGTCCATGAGCCAAGGAAATAATTTCCAATTTCATCATCTAGTTCAGCAAATAGTCGAACATTAGAAGATATACTTCCAACTGTGTAATTATAAAAGCATAATTGTCGAATATAGATACTACAGTAAACATTTGCTGCCAAATTACGACAGAACTGAACTCCGGAGATCTCAATAACGAGAAAATAGACCACGTAGCAAATTGCAGAAGTTTTTCATTCATAGTGTTGCTATCCTAATCATAAATCATCGGACTCAAATATGGAGATTCAATTTATTTCCTCATCGTAACTTCATGTTTTGTATCTTCCAAGACCGTTCTAGAGGATTCACAGAAAAGGCACCATTAAGGCACTCCAGTAGCATGGAACCAACATTAAAGCGCCACTAAAACCTATTTCCTCCAATAAACAGTAGCGACAAACTTACCGAGAAAGGACTTCTTCTCTTTGCCGCCAGCTTCCTTCTTCTGTTCCGCCATCTGAAAAGAAAGATAACAGAATAGACTGTGGTTGGTAAATGCACGAAACAGAAACGAAGCGAGAAGAAAATCGTCTTCAGAAAGAACTGCAAACCTAACCGACTAACTTTAGATATGAGAGAGGAATATCGATCAATGAGTTTCACATAGATCAAGAGTATGAACGACATCGGACTCTCGGCGCTGAGACGAAATTGCACAATTCGACGAAGAAACCTAACCTGAGCGGCCTATCGGCAGAAAATATGAGAGAGAAATCGGATCAACGACATTCAGATGTATCAATAGGATGAACGACGGAGACGATGCCGAGATTAGAAAAAGACAAATCGCACAATTCGACTTAGAAACCTAACTAGATTACAGGAGGCAAGCTCAATTTCAGAGTTCCGGGTAGAAGCGACGATTTGATTTGAGCGGGAATTAGTGATGGCAATGGGTTGGTGCGGGGCGGGTACTTCAATACCCATGCCCTACCCCACGCTAGTACGGGTCGGGACGGGTAATACCCGCGTGGGAACGGGGCGGGGCGGGTCAACCCACTCTTACATGCTATTAGATAAAAATACACGCACAATTTTACCTTTTATGATAAAACGAAGGGGAAAATACTTGATGAATGAATAATAGTGATAATATAATAAGTAATTGAGTCTATTTAGTTGAAAGATCAAATCTAAATAGTTGAATAAAAGTCAAAATAGGAGATATATGAATGGATGGAGTAAAAAATTGACATAGAACGGGGTAAGAATGGGGCGAGGCGGGGCAGGGCGGGTCGGAAGTTGATACCCGTGCCCCGCCCCACGCTAATGCGGGTCGGGTAATACCCGCCCCATCGCGGGTCAGGTCAGGTATTACCCGGCCGGGCGGGTTCAAATTGCCATCCCTAAGCGGAATGTTTGCTGTAACACAGCCATTCGAATTTGCCTAAAATATATAGTAGAGGGCTTGGGCCTTAGGACGTATCGGGATAAGATCAGGTGACTAAGGGGTCGGTTAGCATGCTATCCCCCCTTAGGGGTTGGAAAAATGATACCCCCTAGTATATTAAATACAACTATAGAATTTAATGCACACATTAAATACACATTAGGAATTAAATGCACCATATTAATTATTTGTTTTTTTTTCAAATTAAAACCTACACTAAATACATTTTCTCTCACTATATTTGATTTTTCCTTTTTCAGCAGTCTCCGACCACCAGACTTCCTCCGACCGCCACACTTCTCCGGTGAAAATCCCATCGGCAGACTCCCTCCGACCACCTCCAAAAAATATACCACTGCACTGATACGTTGTACCACTGTACTGGTAGATATACCACTGCACTGGTAGCGATATCAATGCACTGGTAGCAATGTCATATCTGAGTATCAGTGCAGTGGTACAAATACCAGTAAAGTGGTACAACATATCAGTGCAGTGGTATATTTTTGCATGTGACCGGAGAGAGTTTGTCGGCGGATTTTACCGGCGAAGTGTGGTGGTCGGAGGAAACTTGGTGGTGGAGGCTGCTCGGAAAGGAAGAATCAGAGATAGGAGTGAGAAAGATCAAAGATGAGAGAGAGAGAGAATTGTATTTTGTATATGTTTAGATTTTTTTAAAAAACAAGTAATTAATGTGGTGTATTTAATGCTTACTTTGTATTTAATAACAGAACATTTATTATGTTTACTTTCATTAATACTTGTCAATAATTAATGAAAAATTGACCAATTAAAAGGGGGTGTAAAAAAACCAACCCCTTAAGGGGTTAGACTAACTCCAACCCTGAAAGGGGAATTTAGCTCCCCAAATGGCCAAATATGGCTTTTTAGCTCCCCAAACCCACTTTTCACTCCAACCCTATAAAAAGCTAAATTTAGCTTCCCATTTCCATTTTTCAATTTATTTCAATAAACCATACTTATTTGACCTCTAATTTTTATATTTCACTTTAATATTTTCATAACTCGTTATTAGTTTTGAATACAAATTTTTCGATGTAATTTTTTTTAAATTCTGAGATAATTTTTTTTTTAAAAAAGTAGTCGTTAAAATATTACCGTTAAAACTTCGGGACCACTCCAAATATGACCGTTTTTTTGTATCCGTTACTTTACGACCGTTTTTTTGTCATTTTTTGCACCAAATGTCTTTATAAATGACAGTTCTTCATTTTCATCAACTCAACTAAAACTTCTTCCCATTTCTAAAACAAACACATTCATCATGAGTATCTCAGATAGCTCATCGTCTGGAGAAGAAGAAAACGAAGAGTACGAAAGGTTTCACCACCTACGTTTGAGTTTGATCGGTCGGAGGCTGGCTGAAGGTGCATCAAGTCGCCGTCAAACTACAAGCCGACGTCACATTGATCGTGAGAGGGTCGAATGTAATCGACGTCTTATGAGGGATTACTTCGATCCAAATCCAGTATACAATGCTCGCATATTCAGAAGGCGCTATCGGATGAAGCCAAGATTATTCCATCGCATTATGGGCGACATTGTGAGGTTTGACCCCTCATTTGCTCTAAGGCGTGATAGCTTTGGTCAATTGTCACTATCTCCAGAGCAGAAGCTTACTGGTGCGATGCGCATGCTAGCATATGGTTCTCCAGCTGATCAACTTGATGAGTATGTTCGTATGGGTGAGAGCACCTTGATGGAGGTCTTCAGAAAGTTTTGCAACAACATTATCAACATGTACGGGGCCACATACCTTCGCGCACCTACTCCTGCTGATTTAAGGATCTTACTCCGTAAAGCCTCAAGTCGTGGCTTTCCTGGAATGATTGGATCAATTGACTGCATGCATTGGGAATGGAGGAATTGTCCAAGTGGTTGGGCAGGACAATACACCGGCCACATGCATAGGCCAACAATCATTCTGGAGGCGGTGGCCTCCTACAACACATGGATATGGCATGCTTTCTTTGGGACACCTGGATCGAACAACGATATAAATGTTCTGGGGATGTCACCAGTGTTTGATCGTATCGTCAATGGAAGCGCTCCACATGTACGATTTGAGGTAAATGGTCATGCTTATGATCAATGTTATTATTTGGCTGACGGTATTTATCCCTCATGGTCGACTTTAGTGAAGACCTTCAGCAATCCAAGGTCAAACAAAGAGGCTTTGTTTGCTCAACATCAAGAAGCACACCGCAAAGATGTGGAACGGGCATTTGGAATCCTCCAAACAAGATGGGCAATTGTTCGTGGCCCTGCAAGAGCTTGGGATGTTGTCACACTTAACAATATAATGCTGACGTGCATTATATTACACAACATGATAATCGAGGATGAGCAGGTTGATTCTGATGACGAGATGGATGATGACCTTGATTATGAGGTCCATGCACAACCTGAACCAATCAACCGACACCAATCAACTCTAATTGATTACTTGGCTAGAAATAACAGGCTTCGCTCATCTACAACACATCATGCGCTTAGAAATGACTTGGTTGAGCATCTTTGGAATTTGCACGGCAATATCTAGCATTGTTTGTACTTCATGTTAGAGAAGTTTATATTGACACATATAAAAATAAGAAAATACACAAGTTGAGGGTCCGAAAGAATACCACATCAAACTGGTTCGTGCCACTCGATTGATGCCTTTGTGCTCTTTGCAAAACTCCCTTCCAAGCATTGCAGTGATAGCAAATAATCTTCATTCGGGATTCCATTGCAACAGCAGTACGAATTGTAGTAGGATCCCATTTTTGATGTTCTGCCGCCACTCTTTCCCACAACCTTGTATACTTCTGGTTGGTGCCAACCGCTCCATCTTCTGATATCGACACCCAAGCTCTGCACAAGATTTCATCTTCATTCGGACGCCAATTAGGTCCTCTCTTGCCTGTCATATTCCTATTTTGAGAGACGATAACAATTGAATTTTGAGAGAATGCGATTTATGCTCTGAGAATGAGTGAAGAGAAATCTATGAAGAGTGCTGTAATATATAAGAAAAAATATGGCCGTTAAAATATGACCGTTTTTTTATGGTCGTTAAAATATGACCGTTTTTTCGTCACTACATCAATTATTTCAAATTTATATTTCAAATTGAATCACAAACCACCAATGAGAATAGAGGAAAAAAATCCAAAACAAATTGGCTCCCCAAATTCCCAACCAACAAAAGTTAAAAGAAAAAAAAAAAAAAAGGGAAAACAGGTCAGCTGGAAGGAGAAGGCGCCGGACGTGCGCCCCAGGCGCGCGTCCGGCGCCTTCTCCTTCCAGCTGACCTGTTATCCACTTTTTGGCAGCCAAATATCACTCCCCACCCCAAAACCCAGCCATATTTCCCTTCCAAAAACCCAATACCCATTTTTGGCTTCCAATTTTTTTGTGGGTTGGAGGAAGAAAAAAAGCCAAATATGGCTTTATAGCAATTTGACACCATGGGTTGGAGCTAGCCTTAGCATGCTAACTCGTCCCGGTGACTAAGGGAAACCCCCTAGTCACTTACCTAAGTCAATCACAGCCCTTCAAGTTCATTAGAATTTAATGGCTCTAATTAATTCAATTTAATGAAGGGTAGTGTAGTAATTACATGATTCATGATTATTTTATTTTTTTAAATTAATAATTAAAAAGCCACAGCAGCGACGCGACCAAAATTTTCCGGCGGGCTGTCCAGGCTTTATCCGGCCGGTGCGTGGTTGTCCTAGAGAGAGAGAGTAGGCGGCCGTTGAGATTTTCCGCCGCCACCATTTTTGTGCATCTCATGCGAATGTGCGTGTCCCAAAGAATAGAGATGAGGCCACCATTTTGGTGCGTCGAGAGAGAGAGAGAGAGAGAGAGAGAGAGAGAGAGAGAGAGAGAGAGAGAGAGAGAGAGAGAGAGAGAGAGAGAGAGAGAGAGAGAGAGAGAGAGAGAGAGAGAGAGAAATTTTCTGGTCGGAAAATTTTTTCCGACGACAGTGTCTTTGTGACGTTTGTTGACATATTTTGTAATGTTTGTACGCTTTGTTATTTTGTAATGTTTGTAAACTTTGTTAGTTTTGTGCACCATGTTTAACATTTTTGTCAACCATGTTTGTAATGTTTTTTATGTCTATTTGGATGGAACTTCTCTATATAGGGATGGAGCTTCCAAAGTCAACCCGGGTGTTTTTTCCAGTTCGTATGGATTGTCGGTCTAGTTTGTCATTTTTGTCCACCATGTTCATATTGTTTGTATGTCTAAAAAACACTCGGGTTGACTTTGGGAAGGAGCCCCTCTATATAGGGATGGAGCCTCCAAAGTCAACCTGGTTGTTTTTTCTTTTTGTATGGTTTGTATTGTTTGTCGGTCTAGTTTGTATTTTTTGTACGGTTCATATGTTTGTAAATCTGTTTGTATGTTTTGTCGCTCTAGTTTGTACTGTTTGTATGGTTTGTACTGA